GCTTTATGTGTTTTGAACAGGCTTCTGTTTCTAATTCATCTTTCCACTTCTCAAAATCTGCCACCGTTAAGAAACTAGTTAATCTCGTAGAAATATTTATTTCATGAACAATGTTGTAATGACTGACAATTATAACTTTGGGTCCACTAAAAGTACACATTGGACAATTGTAAATTATTACTTCTTTGGGCTGAGAACGGTGAACTTGTTCTATATGTCGAACTAGATTGAATTTTTTGTTAAACTCCTTATTACAATGGCAGCAAGTAAATCTACCCTGATTTTGATTTTCTTGAGCACTATGAATAAATTTAAAATGTCTTAATAAATTAAACTTTTTAGTAAAAGTCTTTGCACACATATCACATAAAAAACTTTCTGGAGGCATTATTTCGACATGTTTTTACCTGACCTAACCTTTATAATCTGTGCCTGACCTACGACAATTTATGACGTTTTACTAAAACGGTTTTAGTGTACAGGATCCTGCTAGAATCTTTTACTGTTGAGAAATACGCGAATGGCTCCATAGAGGGCAGCATCGTTTTAATCAGATTTCCTCCTCTAGGTGTGACGGCTAGACGCTCGTAATACTTTGGCGGTGAGCATAATAAAGCTTAAATTACACTATGTAACAAAATTTCATTTTTGTTTTGTTTATTGGATTTTTTTGTTAAATTATCAATATTTGTGTGCCAAAAAACTATTTTAACTTAATTTAAAAAATGTAGTGATAAGTTTCTATTTTTTAAGGGGTATTTATATAATATAATCAAACCCAGTTTTATCAAAAACAAAAAAAAATATTGACAAGAAATGGCAAGAAATTCAACTCAGAATTATTATTTTAACAAACATACAATCTAGAAAAATATTTTTTTAACATAGATTTTAAATCTCGGCTGAAAAATGAATTTTAATACGACTTTTTCTTTTATATGATGCATTTTCTTCCCGAAGTAGATTCCAAACATAGTCAGTGACTATTAGTCACCCATCATTGTCGCATCCCACCTTCCTTGTTATAACTTTTCCATTAACCGAATATCTTGATGGAATCTTTCTTCATGTTCTTCGCTGACACCTCCCAGATTTTCACGGAAAAAGTCAAGATGCGAATGCAAATAGTGTAGGTACTTTCAACGACATGCGGCATCCCATTTCTTAAAAACTTCCTAATAAAACTTTGACAAGGTCAGTATAATTTTCTCTTGTTTGATTCCCAAGAAAACCTTTTAATTAAAATCTCACGTTAACATTTGAGTTTAAAAAATATGTATTATAATCCAATTTTTGTTAAAAAAATATTCATTTTTTTTTACATGTTGTCCACAAAGAAAGTTTTCTTAAAATATAATCATATTCTGTAAGAACTTGGTATTATGTATTAAAAAGACAGTATAGAACAATTCATACCTTTTTTTGTGAATGTATATTTTTCTACACTTCTAGCTTAAATTTGCATTTTTAAGCTAGCTTAAATGACATTCTTATGAGTTATACTTAAGTATAATTATCTAGTTATAGTATCAATTTTAAATTGACATTCTTAACAGTGGCGGCTGGTGGATTTTAAGTATACCAATATCTCAGTTATTAGACATGGGACCCACACCAAATTTATAATAGTTTATATTGACATTAAATAAACAAGTTCGGCGCAAACAGAATTTAAATTGAAGTTTGCGAAAAAAAGTTAGTTTTTCCTGTCGCCTACCCTGCCTCCAGGCCCCCCTATTTGAGATAATTCAAATTAAAGTGGTGCAATTTATTATCTACTATAATTTATCGACAAATTTAAAATTTTATTCAAAAAATCCAAATATTACAGATTTTATTCGATTTTAAATTTTTATTATTTATTTTATTTTATTACTTAGGGGCGTAGAAGTTGTGTACGTCAATGTTATTCTTAATTACGATGAAATGCTAAAATCGTTTGAATCGTGTGCTAAAATGATCAGCTTGAGCTTTATTAACGTAATAACGAATTTTATTTCTAATAAGACAAGAAATCGCATATTACCCTTGTTATTCTTACGGTAATATGCAAGAATGACCTTTATTATTTTCACCCATTTGGTGCTAAACAATAAGGATAGTAGTCGGTTGCGCCACTCCCAACTTAAAACCGTTCCTGCGCCACTATAGTGTAGACACATCCTGGAAACAAACGTGTGTCGTTACATATCCACGGTGTGCCTGAACCGAAGTTTAAGTCACATAAAAATGCCGCCAAAAACTGATTGCAGTTTCTTGTTCGGGACCCTTTGGTGACTTAAAAATGATATTTACCATAATCCTAGATGCTCCTCTTTTCGATATTTTTTGAAAATTCATGACTTTTTTTTAAATTTCTGTTTATTTTAAAGTCTACCTTTGACAGAGTGCACATTTGAGCCAAAAATCGCTTATTTTTAATAAAGCAAAAGCTTAAATTCATGATTTTGGCATAACGCGCAAAAAAGATTTATCCCCATTTTGTTTTTAGATATTTCTACGTTTATCAGGTTACAAAATTCTTATTAACCTTTTATAAAAAAATAAATTTTTAATAAAATTAAATAAAATAACGAATAAATAAAGAATATTAATTTAGGCTTTTTAGTAGTTTTCAATTTTGAACGAAAAACTGGTTAAAGTTTTTTGATCGGCACTCTTTGGAGATTTAAAAACGATATTTACCAAAATTCTAACTGCTTTTTTTAAATTTGTTAAAAAATATTTTTTTTTAATTATTTGTTTATCGCAAAGTCTACCTTTGCACACCGATTTTTATTGATTGCAGTTTCTTGTTCGGGACCCTTTGGTAACTTAAAAATGATATTTACCAAAATCCTAGATGCTCCTCTTTTCGAAATTTTTTGAAAATTCCTAATTTTTGTTTATTTTACCTTTGACGAAGTACACATTTGTGCACCGATTTTTATAATATTGGAGTATATTGTTAACGAGACTTGGAGAATACTGTTTTAATACTGAGCACATCATTAGATTTATAAAGGGTTAGACAAAAATTACTTTTTTATATAGTAAAAAGCATAATGCACAAAAAGATTTATCTCCAAAAAATGTTATTTTATTTAATTTTATTCAAAACCAATTTTTCTTATAAAGTTTTATTGAGAATCCCATTTTGTAGCCTGATAAACATAAAAATATCTAAAAAAACATGGGTGGGTATTAGGGTGTCCCTTATTTTTTATTTTTTTACGCATACCCTCTAATTATATTTATTACGTGTTTATATACTCCCAGTAAAAATTTCAGCTCATTCTATAAACGGGAACCCGTGCCGACTTGCATCTGAACCCTCCGTGAGCCAACGTTAGGCGCGCGGTATTTTGTAACACGGTTGGTCGCGAGGTCTTCGATCGTAAGTCATTTTGTGTTTGTTATTATGTGACCCTTATATTATAAATTATTGACAAATGTTAAAATATAGTTTTATTAATGTGTATACTTTGATAAAAATGTATATTTTCACAGGGAGTGGCTAGTTACCCGGAAGGGTCTAGTGAATATGCCGTAAACTCTGAAATTGATAAACTTAATGGGATTTACTCTAAATAACTAAAAGAGTCTATTGTGAGAGATGACTACCGAAAACTGTCTGAAATATTTTTGGGAGGACATCAAGAAAAAAAATGATTATAAAAAGCTGAAATTTCATATAACAGTATATTTTAGCAATACTAATTAGTATATTAATATATTTAAGGGATAAAATCAACTAATTTTTTTTTGGTTATTTTTTAGCTGTCATTCAGATATAATAAAAAAAAGAGTTTCGGGTAATTAGTTTTACGGCCTATTCACCCGACACTTCCGGGTAACTAGCCACTTCCTGTAAAAATATTCATTTTTATTAAAGTATACACATAAATAAAACTATATTTTAACATTTTTTAATAATTTATAATATAAGGGTCACATAATAACAAACACAAAATGACTTACGATCGAAGACCTAGCGGCCAACCGTGTTACAAAATACCGCGCCTAACGTTGGCTAATGGAGGGTTCAGATGCAAGTCGGCACGGGTTCCCGTTTATAGAATGAGCTGAAATTTTTACTGGGAGTATATAAATACGTAATAAATATAATTAGAGGGTATGCGTAAAAAAATAAAAAATAAGGGACACCCTAGTGGGTATATATCTTTTTTGCGTATTATGCCAAAATCAAGAAGTTACGCTTTTGCTTTATTAGAAGAAGCGATGTTTGCCTTACCCTTTATATATTAAATGATGTGCACAGTATAAAAAGTATTCTCCAAATCTCCTTAACAACATACTCCAATATTATAAAAATCGGTGTACAAATGTATACTCTGTCAAGGGTAGACTTTAAGATAAACAATTTTTTTTTAAATCGTGAATTTTCAAAAAATTTCGAAAAGAGGAGCAGCTAGGATTTTGGTAAATATCATTTTTAAGTCACCAAAGGGTCCCGAACAAGAAACTGCAAATTTTAGAAATCCAAAAGCATCGTTGACTATAGTTAATGATATATTGGCGTAAAAGTATGCCAATATAGGACCGACCTTGGATAAACATTGCCAAGATATATTAAATTATTATTTTGTGCCAATATAGAGCTAACATCGGCTAAATAAATCCAGTATTGGCCCCAGATAAAATATTGGGCATAGACGCGTCCCATATAGGACCAATATTTTGTGCTATTGGGGAAGAGTTTACATTTCTTAATACAGAATATTTAATATATTAATGATTTTCAACTAGAAATTGACATTCTTAAGACAATTAAACCTATTGAACTAACATTCTTATTACACATATAGCTTAAATTGACAGTTAATATTTTTTTAACAAATATAAAATGTGTCCCAATTTTTTGCTGTAAAGTCAAATCAAACTTAAAAAACTACTTGTACCAGGGTTTAAGTAAAAATTAAGAATCTGGAACCACCAAGATAATTCCATGGACTCATCAGTACTTTTTAAAGTTTTATTATATAATTAAGATTTCTTACCTTGAGACGTTTATTTCTGTTCCGCTAAACAAAACCACAATGACGACGGCCAAGTTCCCGACAACGGCCAGGACCACAACGAACCAGACAGATATCCTGAGCCAGGATGATCCCATTATGTCTTCGCAGGGGTTCAACGCATTCGGCTCCGGAGTGCATTCCGTGGGCGGTCTGCAAAGAAAGTGTTCGTATGCGTTATAAAATTTCATTAAGAAGGCTAAGGAGGATAGTGCTAATGCCGTTTTCGATTAATATTTATTTGATTTTACTGTTTTAACGAGGGTTTTTAATGTTTTGTTTTAGAATGTCTTTTAGCTTTTAAAACTTGCTATTATTCATGATTTATTTATACAACATATTTATTTTTCTAATTGTGCATACTCCCTAAAAATGAATTATTTAATAGTTGCTTTTAATTGCTGCGGTTTCACTTGTACCATGGTTAACCATGGAATACCATGGTATCCCAAAATTTAACACCCAATTCTTATGTAAAATTGTCCCCTCACTCCGAAAATAACGTCAAAAATTATAAAAAGTAGAACAGTTTTTAAGATATAGTCAATTTTCCATTTAATATGGAATTGACTATATTTCAAAAACTGCTCCCCTTTTATAATTTTTAGACGTTATTTTCGGATTCAGGGGACAATTTTACATAAGAATTGGCTGTTAAATTTTGGGATACCATGGTAAAAGTGAAAAAGCAGTCATTAATAACTATTAAATTGGTCATTTTTGACCAATTAATTTTTAGAGAGTACAATTTTTTGTCATGTTAAAAAATATAACCAATGGGTATTTCCACGAAACCATACCGCACCTTGACAAAAAATCAGATGTGTTATTTAACAAAATAACAACTATATCTGAATTCAAACAGTTTAATTGCGACGTAATTTATAAACTTAAAATATTCGTACATTGTAATGCTAAGAAGCTAACATTAAGAATAAACACGGAAGAGTTTCAATACTCGATAAAATGTTCAAATGTCGCACCCGTTACATTTTGAGAAAATTTTAGAAAATAAAGTATAAAATATTTGTGCATTTAAGGTGCTTGTTTAAGGTTACTATTCAAGTTTTACACAAAAAATTATTACTATATGTTTTCATCCAAAATTTTTCAGTATCAACTTTAGAAGCCAACTTGGTCGGATTAGCCGATTTTCTAAGGTCGCGCCCGTTACGCTATTCATGATGCTATAAAAGGTTTTGTATACAAGTTTTTGTTTGAGTTTAATAAATAATTTTTTATACTATTTCTTTATATTAACGTATATGAACAAACACTTTATTATCATGAAAAAACGCAGTTTTAGTGTCGCACCCGTTACAATGGAAATAAGTATTTATGTCATTTGGTTAAGAAGTGAGTCTTTTTGTGCTGAGTTTACTTGAGCGAAGCACAAAAATACACTGGGTCAAATGACAATGCAACATTTTATCTTTATTTGTTAAACGATACATAAAGCTCGCAATAATTATAATTATAATTATTATAATAATAAATAATAAAAGTGGAAATTGAGGTTAGGTACAGAAGTCGTTTTTTGTAGGTATTGGTTAAAAGTAAAAAATAATGAATTTTAACTTCCTAGGCAGTAAAAAACCGGTGCCGATTGGTCTAAATAATTTTAAAGTTCCTAGGCTCTAATCAATCACTTTAGTAAAAGTAAAATTAGGAAAAACTCATACAATAAATAGAAATATAAAACAGTAAATTAACACGATTAACAAAAAAATAAACAATTATAAGAACTCCTTAATTTTATGTTACAATCAGATATATTATTTGGCAAACGAGAATACTTAATTCTAAAAGTTTAACCAACTTCAACAATTTTATTTAAAAACTTGTACTGTTCGTAAACAATTAAATTAATGCCATAAAAGACAAAATTCTTTTAAATTGTTATTTTTAGAAAATAAATTTCACGTCACTCCCGTTACTTCTTAAGGACATACGATTAACCTTTCCATTAACTTTTTATTGTTTCTGCGTATTTAACAATGAAACTACCTACTTTTAAATAACAAAAATAGATCACATAAACATAAAGAAATATATTCAAATATTTGGTTGTAAAAAATAAACAACAAAAAGTGGTAACTCGCCTTACATTAAAATTTGATACCTTTTGACATAGCAATGTTTAAAAAATATAGGTAAGTTATGACGCTTGCCAAATTGACACTTCTTAAATTTAATTTGTATAACAAATAAATAAATTAAAGTCGTTGCTTAAAAAGAATATCCATAGCCTAGGCTACTATACCATATACATTATTTTGTGATTTTCAAATCATGTAAAGGTCAGTACAAACTTTTATTGTTGGCGTTGAAAAACTAACTAATAATTTTGAATTTTTGTATTATGATAATACAATAAGTTTCACAATTACTATTATTTCCCAGGAAGGGCCCTTTATTTTAACGATTGTATGACATTCGACAACTGTCAACTAACTTAAAGCGTGACTAAAGCGCTATAAGGCCATATCTTGTTAATATTAAAAGATCAATTAGTGTCATCGAAACAAGTACGAAAATGGGCGTTTTAAAGGTGAAAGTAGACAAAATTATTAAAATCATGACGTAATATATCGGCCATTTCAAGCGGATGGACGGGACAAATCACAAAACTGTTTTTATAAAAAAAATTGTAAGTAATTTATTATATATTATTTTTGCATCAAAATTGTCAAATATATTCTTCTATTATTAGGCTATACATTAAATTTAAAAAAACGCAAGAAATATTTTATAAAAGTAAAGATAATTTCAATAATTGACAGGGGTGGAGGGGACAAGATAAATCTTTTTTTTGTCCCGTCCACACCTTTCAATTATTAAAATTATATCTACTTTCATAAAATATTTCTTGCGTTTTTTTTTATTTAATGTATAACCTAATAAAAGAAGAATATTTTTTACAATTTTGATGCCAAAATATTATATAATAAATAATCTACAATTTTTTTTATAAAAATATTTTTGTAATTCGTGCGTTTCGCTCGCTTGAAATGGCCGATATGTTTTTTCCATACTCTTTACATTAAATGGGAGTTTGTTGTAAAACACTGGGACATACGCTAAAGAAGTATCGGGTTTTTGCAACGCGCACGCCATCTGGTGGACTTTGAATGCATTGCGTGAATTTAAGAATTGTCAACAATAAAATTAAAGCACCGATTATACATCATTTTTAAATAAATAGGTAGTTTTTTTACAAAAGAAAGGAAGGCAGAAGTCTTACTCGACAAATTTTGTTCAATTGCACAGCTAAATCGTGCACGTTATTTGTGTTTTACGTTGCAAGGAAAAAAATAAAAAACTATTTTAGTTCTCGATTTTGATTGATTATTTCTTATATCATTGATTAAGAAACTCAACGCTTAAATGCTTATATAGTTACGTTAGTGTGTGTATTTTATCAAAGGGATCATGGTGAATTGTTGTGTTTTTAATTGTAAATAAAATTCAAGAACTAAATCGTTGCATTTTCATGCTTTGCCAAAGGATCCAATTCGGTAAGTACATTTGTTGGAGCAGAATTAACTAATGATAACTTTACCTAATATAATTTATATTTAAGTTTGGACATTTTTAAGAAATTAGTAAAAAATAATTTTTGCACAACATAACCTTAAAATCAACCATTTTTAGGTATTTTACCGTTGAGATGAGACTTTAAAGAATTCTTAATCAACGCTTTTAATAATGCTAAATGCTGATAAATTTAGACGACTTATTTGTTTGACGGTTTTTGCTGAATTGAAATGTTTACACTTTTTACGTTAATCACTACCTACTAAAATGTGTATTTATTGTATCTGATAGGTACAATTTATATTTACAGAGACTAGAGTTGGGGATGGTCAATTGACCGCGGTCAATTGACCGCTACCTATTTGACCGGTCAATTGACCATTCAAAATATATTTAATTTTTGCAGCATTTTAGTGGTATTAACAATTACCCGTGAATCTCAAAATTTTTGCGATCGTGCAATATCGACATCATTTACAATTTGGTGGTTCCCCGAGTCAAGGGGTTGCTAGGGGACTCGGCACTTTGCCCTTAAAGCGGGACATATCTTTTTTAATAGCGAAACATATCTTTTTAAAGCCGCACAAACGTTTCTAAAGATGGACATAACTTTTATAATAAAAAAAAATTGGTAACGTATTTTATTTACCTATTTATTAAGTACAAATAAATCACAGTAATATTGACTGGTCAATTGACCAAAAACAATTTGACCGGTCAATTTCACAACCCTAACAGAGACTGTATGTAATTTATTCCTTCATTCAGATTAACAATGTTTATTGGAAAAGCGGTAAAAACTCAACCCAGGATTTCCTCTCGAAATACACCCAACAACACAGCAACGGTTTTTTTTTCGATATTTTTTAAAATTTTCCGGTTTTATTCTCAAAAACAGTCGTTTGTAACCTACGCGTTTGACAGCTGATTATTTAAAGTTCTACTTTTGTTACGATGATAACAGCCGAGTGGTGGCGATACTAGCGATACTTCTTTAGCGTATAGTACATTGTTAATTTAAAACATTTTGACAAACGAACTTAAACAGGAAGCATCTTACTTTTGTTTCGTTTTATGTATTTATGAATACCACATTATATTTACTATTTTTTTCATTATTATAGATGAGACATTCTTATACAAATTGCGATGGTAGTGTAAGGATCTTCACTGAGAAAAATGGTCGTTAACTGTTAAAGTAACTGGTTAATTTTTAACGAGCTACAACTTAGAATAGGGCGCACATAATGTGAGTTTGATTCTAAAATATGGTTCGTTGGAGAAATTCTAATTCATCATGTATTATTTTTAAACTAAATCATTTAACTGTTGCACTAAATCGTAGGTAATTATTAAATGCACGATATTAATCTTAACCGTGGTTGTAGTAATTGTTAACTAGCGGCGCTTAATAACAACTTATGTATTAGTGTGTAGTTTTATTGAGTTAAACATTAACTAATAACTTGGTAATATAAATCTAGCGGCGCTTAATAACAACTTATGAATTAGTGTTTAGTTTTATTGAGTTAAATGTTAACTAATAACTTGGTAATAGAAATCTTATAAATCTTTATATCACTTACTTTCTATTAATATTAGATTCTTAAATCTAT